TTTGTGTTGCCCCACCCTCTTGGGGGGGGGGGGCATGATTTCTTGCTTTCTGTCTATCTCTCTGATGAGTGTATGTGCCCTATAGCAAAGATCTCTCTCTCAAAAAAAGTAAAAAACAAAAAGCAGTCTCTGACACAAAAGGCAGTCTATCTCTGCCTAACTATTAATGTAAGTCTTTCACATTGATGGGAAGATTGTTGCAGAGGGAGATAGTGAAATTTTATCACTATTTTTGTTTGGTCTGTTAAAATTCTCCAGTCTGGGCCAGCAGGTGACGTGGCAGTTAAAGTGTTGGACTCCCACACAGCTAACTGCAGTCTGAGTCCTGGACCCAGCAGCTTGAAAATCATGCCAGGTATATGTCTATGTGTGTGCTCAGAATCCCAAGAGGAGAATAGAGGAGAAGAGATTGTGATTTGGCCATCTGCCCTGGGGGGATGGTTTCTTGCTTTCTGTTTCTGTCTCTCCAGCAAGCACACATGCCCTATAGCAAAAGTCTCTCTTTAGAAACAAAACAAAACAAAACAAAAGAAAAAAAAATACTTCAATCTGAGGCCAGCAGATAATGTGGCAGTTAAAGTGCTGGACTCCCACATGGCTGACTGCGGTTTGAATCCTGGACCTGGCAGCTAGAAAATCATGCCAGGAGCATGTGTGTACGTGCATACTCAGAATTCCTCAGAATCCCAGAAGCAGAATGGAGAAGAAGGGATTGTGGAAAGGCCATCCCCCTGCGGGCGAGTTCTTATTTTCCCTCTTTCTCTCACTGTAACTCTCTTTCCAGTGAGCGCATGCACACTATGGCAAAATCTTAAAAAAAAAAAAAAAAGTTCTCCGGTCTGTAGACAACTTCAACTGCAAATCCCAGTTAGACATAGAGTAGAGGCCCTTGCTGCTGGGTTCAAACACATCTAGCATACTGGCTAACCAGATATCAGTCTCCTGAACAAGAATTAATCTTAAAGCAAAGTAATCTTGCTCCCAAAACAAAACCCCAGTAATGGGAGAAAGGAAATCTTGAGTGCAGTATGGAACTAGGTCTTTTCTCCTAGCCTTTCAGATTGTCACTCAGATTCTCACGGAAGGGGCAGAGTCAAAAATAAAACCTAAAAGCAAGGCTTGCCAGGGGCTGGTGATAATAGGAGCTGGACCCCACATGGCTTACAATCCACCCTGTGGATTGAAAAATGTGCAAGAGGTGGTATGTGGTTAAGGCGACAGGTGGCATGTGATTAAGGCACTGGACTCCCACACAGCTGACCACAGTTCAAGTCCTGGACCCCTTGGCTTGGCTTGATTTCTCACTGATTCTCTCTCTCTGGTCAAATTAAAAAAAGAAAAAAAAAAATTCCACCACCAACCACCACCACAATAATAATAAAATTAAATAATTCTTTAAAGGAAAAATACACCAGACGTGTGTATGTGTGTGTGTGTGTGTGTGTGTGTGTGTGCATACCCAATATCCCAAAAGGAGGGAGAAATGGAGAAGAGGCTGCAGTGTGACCATTCCCCGGGGGACACTTTGTCTCCCCTACATCCCTCTCTTCTTGGTGAGTGCACACATCCTCTGGCAAATTAAAAAAAAAAAAAAACCCTATCGGAACACAACAGTAGTACTTGCATACTATCAGCAGAACTACAACCAGCAGATCAGGGTTAGAGCACTCTCTCCTTCGACACCTCAAGGACTCCAAGTCATCAGAATCTGTAAAGTCTAGGATGACAAGTGGTAGTGTTAGTGCCGAGTAGAACAGCAGCATCCAGAAGGAACAGCAGAGTGTCTAGGAGCAGCGGCACCAAGTGAGTGAAGCAGGACATCTCGGACTTAGCAAAAGTGGCAGTCATACCAAGTAGAAAGGGCCAAGATAGTAGTAGCTAACACTTGTATATCTGACAGGATGCCAAGCATTATTCTAAGTAGTTTATCCACATTCATTGTTGTTTTTCTCATTTTAAACATGGGACGCTGAGACACTATAGTAGACAGACTCCAAGACAGCCATTCATTCCCCACCTCCATATTTGCAGACTGCTCCTTATAAAAAGAAGAGGAGTCTAATTCCCCTCTTGTGAATGTGAGCTGGCCTCAGTGACTTGCTTGACTACATGAAAAAAAAACAGAAATGACTTTCTATGATTTTTATAGTTAGGTCATAAGAAGCCACACAAGGGAGTGTCTCTTAAATACTTACTCTTGAGACACTCCTCAGAACCAGCTGAGGGAATCCCTAGCCACATGGGAAGACCACATGTAGAGGTTCTGATGGACAGCCCCAACTGAGCTCACAGCCAGACAAGGCATCATCTTCCGGTCATGTGATTAAGCCATCTTGGACATCTGACCCAGCTGAGCCTTCAGATAACTCCAGTCCAGCCACCTTCTAAGTGCAACTGCGTAAGAGACCCTAAGAGAAAATCACCCAACTAAGACCACCCAGTTATTCCATAGAATTATGAACAATAATTTTTAAAAATGTTATTTAAGGGAACCAGCAGTTAGCGTAATGGCTATGTTGCTGGACTCCCACATAGTCGACCGCAGTTCGTGTCCCGGACCCGGTGGCTTAAAACTCACGCCGGGCACGTGTGCGTGCGTGCCCAAGATCCCGAGAGGAGAATGGAGGAGAAGGGATTGCGGCGTGACCATCCCCCCTGGGGGGTGATTTCTCGCTTTCTGTCTCTATGTCTCTCTCTGTCTGTCTGGCGAGTGCACGCGCCCTACAGTGAAAATCTCTCCAAAAAAAAAAAATGTTATTTAAGATACTAAGTTTTGAGATGGTTTGTTACACACCAAAAGAAAACTGGATTAGGCATAAAGCTATTGAAGGACTTGCTCAACATCACAAGGTTAGTAAACCACATGGCAGAATAAGAATTCACATCCAGGCCACCTGGCTCTAGAGATCGTGCTTTTAAATATTACTTCACACTGCCTCTTGTTTCTGATAAGAACTCTAATATCCAGTGGAATGAAAGGGTAAAAGGGAAGGAAAAAACGTCAGGCTTTACTGGTAGGTGAACTTGTGCATGAGCACATGTAAGAAAACTCCCCAGAACACTGAGACTGGATATTATAAGTAGATTATCTTGCATTTATAAGTGGAGGCAACAAGCAATTAAAACAAAGATTATAAATTCATGGCTTATCTGCAGTTAAAAGAAAGGTTATTAAGTTCAAGGTCAATCTGAATCTTACCTGTCTCTGGAGAAACATTGTCATCACCTTCTTTGCTTGTTCAAATGCAGATTCTTCACCAGGAAAAGAATTACTCATGGAGAAGCCCACATCCATACACAGCACAACAGCTGCCTAGAAAAAATATCCCAAAAAATGTTTGAAAAAATAGTAATTATAAGAAATATTATAAGCCATGTGTTTTGCTTATTACACTAACAAAATACTGATATGAGCAAGGAGATGTATTTTACATAGAAAATATATGTAAGACATACAAATTTTCACTATGGAGAACCCTTAAATAGTCCTAAAAGCTTTCCGAAAGCTAGAGTATCTGCCAGGTAAAAATCATGTTTTGTTAGTTGCTGTTTCTCTGACCTGAGGCCCTGCAGAACCTGATGGTGAGCAGATCTGATACAAACCCACAGGCTAGAGTTAGGTCCAGCCCAGTGAGCCCAACATATCTGACACGTTGCAGTTGATCTGTATATTAGATGGATGGGAGTAGTTGCCTTTGTTGTAAGTGGCTGATCTGGAGTGTAGTTTGTCATGAAACATTTTTGTGTGTGTGTGATATATAGGTGACTGCTACAATCTATGTATGCCAAGACACTATACTCCAACAATTTAAATCAGTTTGTAAACGAGGGATGTAAAATGTGACCAAGACTCCAAATCTTTCTACTAGAGGACACAGACTTCTAACAAAGGCCTATGTCATATTCCATGTAAGAGGTTTGCAGTGACACTGAGACACAAAAGGAGTATCTACTCAAGTGTTGGAGAAAAGTCTCCTAAATAGGATCCTTAGGTGAGTCTCAAAGAATGAGGAGTTAAATCATGTGAACAAGGAAGCTACAAAGGAAACTACTGGGTCATCAGGAAAATCATGATGCATTTTTGCATAGGAAAAATATGTCACAACTTTCCGACAACCTAGAACAAAAGAACAGGTACAGTCATTAGGAAATAATGATCAAGTTTAAGGGACTTAGAAAATAAGGAAAACAAACTAAAAGGGGTACACGTAAAGCTCTACACTTGGTGGGACCAGCAGTTGGCATAATGGCTTTGTCGCTGGACTACCAAGTAGTTGACTGCAGCTTGAGCCCCAGGCCTGCTGACTTAAACTCATGCTGGGCACGTGTGTATGCATGCCCAAGATCCTGAGAAGAGAAAGAGAAGGAATTGTGGTATGGCGATCCCCCCTGGTGGGTGATTTCTCCTTTCTGTCTCTCTCTGTCTTTCTGGTGAGCATATGTGCCCTATAGCAAAAACATCTCAAAAAAAAAAAAAAAAAAAAAAAGCTCTACACTTGGCATCCAAAATTTAACTGAATAGAAGGTAGAGGGGATCTCAACTAATACCAAGCCATGATTTCAGGGTAAATTATAAAATGAATCAACAATATGCTACTGCACATTCCCTACA